GGGGGAACATGTTTTCCTCAGCCTTGCCAGTACATGCAAATTTGACAACACGCAAAGGAAAGCTAGCCAAAACCATTTTTTCCCAGCGTAGTTTGCCGAGCTACAACCTAATAAAGCCCCAACAATCCACTTTCAAGGCCGCCAGGCCTCAAATCCTAGTTCGGCGAACTAGGCCCGAAAACGATTTTGCCAGGAAAGAACCAGTCAGGTTGGGTGTGAAAGGGAAAACAACCAAACCATTACTATTTCAAGTTCCAAGGATCTTTTTCGTCTACAAGCTCTGGCTGAATGCGCCGTCTCTGAGAGGCTTTGGGGCTTGGGAACATTCTTGGCCGAATGCGGTCCGTAGGTGTTGTTAGGCACTCATCATGGCTAGAGGGCCCCTTCATGGGGCACAACTAAAAGAACTTCAAAACTTCCTGACCTCGAAATTGGGCAGTGTTTTTTAGTGGTGTGGAGAGTGAGCAGGTGAGGCATGACTTCTTAGTTTTTTGCAAACTCGAGCCCGAAAACTCAAGCAAAACTCAAACTGACTGACATCCTCTTGCCCCATGCAAATCCAGTCCTAGATAGGTACCCTGCCCACGCCCGCCCGCGCCTCCAAAATCTCTGCCAGGACTGTGAAGTCGATGAAGTGTGTGTGTGTGTGTTTTGCGTGTGTGTGTGTGTGATGTTAGTATGACCATAACTATAACTTAATTTCAGCTTGCTGCGTTAATTTCAGGGTGACGTCGGTGACGTCGTTTTAAATTGCCTAGATAAATCAAAACAATGGACATACTATATACAGCAGGCCTGACAGAAGAGCAGTTAATTAAAATGTTGTATGTTAAGTTCAACCCTTTACCGTCAAGAACGATCTTATATAAATAGAGAACTATCACTGTTTGATCATTTATCAAAAATAGACATTAACATGGAACGTATTTTGGTATACTGAACTATACATTGAAAACAAACAAAAAAAACATTAAATCAACAAGCTGCAAACACAATAAATTTCAAGAATGTTATTCGATATGCAATGGTCACATGGTTATTTGATGACGGTTCTTTGGAGGTTGTATTTTTGGATCTAAAACACAGATTCGAGTTGTTGTTTACAAAGTTACTACTAAAATACAATAGACAATAATCCTAAAAACACTACTATTAGAAAATGTTGATTATTTATACTAGATCAATGTTGTAGTTTATCAACATTTATCGACACTTGAGTTTTGGTATATATAAACTACAGTACAAATACTACTTGTATATACCTCTCTCACTTGCTTTACTTTACCAAAGCAATAATACATGTTTCAACCATTCTAACATGATATAGATATTAATCAACAAAAACTAAAACAAGCATATACTAAACATGAAGCTGCAAAGCATAATTAGTCAATTAGTCGCCAATTGAGCTGCTTCCTTGACATTTCCATCACATGACACAAGGTGGAAGCATATGAGAAACAAGAAAAGGGTGCACACTCACAGCGCACTGCACTCTAAATCTATTAGACACATAGTCATAGTACATCAAAATATCATAACATTAACATATATTGTCATATAGGTCCTTTGGTAGACTATTGTAGAGTACAACAGCAGGTATTATTAGACAACGTGTATCATTGCAAAAATGTACTGAGGTAGACGGTAGAAGCATATGAGAAACAAGAACAACGTGCGGGAGGCTCTTGCTGGGCAAACCTGCCCAAACTTGACACCCAGGGCTGCTGCAAGTATGAGAATCCCACATCGCTCTGTTCATTAACAAGCCCAAGGCGGAAAAGGAAAATAGTTTACTACAAACAACGTGTTCTACTTCCATATTGTTTAGAGGGAGGCTTGTGAATTCTCCTCTGGATTCCCCCTCCCAACACCCGCGGATTCTGCAGATCTGTGTGGCCAAGGCGCAGGTATCCAAGATTGAACATGATGTGGAAGATGCTATTATGCAGAAAGCACGCCGTGAGCAATCGGTATGTTTGCCCACGATTCACCAGGAGAACGTCCATCCCAAAGTCTCTCCTGGTCGTAAACACCCTCGTGATAAGCATCTTCAGTGCTCGTGATGGGGACATAGCAACGTGCGCAGAGCCTAGAAAAATAGGATGGATGAAGTCATTTCTATATAGTCATTATATGACATGAACGCCAAAATGATACAAGAAATAGATTGATGACGCCACATATGGTTGAAATTCATTGAGGAAAATGGTGTCATCCTATCTTCATGTGTCAAATGTCTATTTGTCTTTTCTCATAGCTTTTAATGGGTTATTGAAAGACGGATAGACCGTTGATTAGTTATATTATCCTTTAAGGACTTGTTTGGTCTTATTTTACTAAAGTAAAGATACACAAAGGAACAAGTAGACATGGAAAAACACGCACACTATTAAAGAACCATAAAACATAAGACCAAATAACACCCCACAGCGAAGTCACAGTTACCAGGAGTGTTTGATGCCGCCTTGATTTGATTGATCAGCTAAAAGTCAACTAAACCATTTGGACATGTGGACGAGATCTGGGCTTCAAAGCCGCCAACACTTTCAAAGGTCTCAACACTGATGCGACCTACTGTCCAAACAGAAATAATCCAAAGAACGTCGCGGACCATACCGGGGAGTGATCACTTTATCCAGACTGGTGGAGCACAAGGCGAGAACACAAACAGGAATGCAGCCCAGTCCATCCCACTTGGTCGATCTTATGGTGCTGAGACATTAAAACACTTTGTGAACATCTTTGAGCCTTGAGCTCTGACAGTTCACCGTGGAGGTTGCTTTCCCCTTGATCGGTCGGGGCATGGGTGTTCCTTGATTGCCCAGCGGTCAGCGGGCGTCGCACAAGGTCTCAGGTCCCCGCTCTCTGAGCTGAGTCTCTGCAAGGTGCTCTTGGTGATGGCCACTGGGCTTCCGTGGACCTGCCCAGGCACGGTACATGGATGTGCGGTCGGCAACACATGGCTGGTGTATGCCTCGACTCAACCCCCCCAAAAAAAACACATACACATATTATTATATTTATATATATATAATATGTGTGACACGTGGTTTATATATATATATAGAGAGAGAGAGTTGTATATATATATATATGTGTTTTACATGTCAGTGTCCACTCCTCCCTGGACTAAGAAAGTTCTCTCAGCAACAGGCTCTCTCCGCTCTCTCTCCCTCCATCGCCATCAGCAACAGACTACTGTCACTTGTCGTCTCTTTGCAGTCCGATGTCGTCTCGGCGTCCTCACTGTCCTGTCCGAGGCTCCAACCGTCGCCATCGTATGGGTGCCCAAGAGCCAACTTTCCTTGGCGGTCGCCCAGTACGAGTCGACTTCACGGCTTGACGTCAGCCAGGCGATCCCCCATCATCGACGTGAACCACCGGTTTTGAAGAGGAAAATGGTCATCCAATAGTGGTCAGGACGTCCACTTCCAGGATCATAATTCCAGGGAGCGTGCACGATGTGTACGCACCAAACACTTGTAAGAACACAAAGCTGTCAAACCATGGTCCAAGTTGAAGCATGTTTCTTCCTGTTGTTACTTAATCAAGCCAGCCTCCGAAGACTATGCGGCCGTTTCACAGCATACACGTCTACTTTGGAATGCTTGGCCCACGGTCGGACTAGAGGATTGATCATCCTGAACTTGTGCCACATCATCTAAGCTATGTGGTTTGGTCCTCCCATCCGGCCATGCAAGGGAGTCATCATCATCATCATCATCATCATCCCCAAAAATATATCAAACAACTGCAATTCCCTTGTGTCCCCCTCCTGTTTGCAAAGAATATTGATGATTCTCGTGCTTCGCGAGACCTCGCAGATTTGATCCGCCTTTCTGACACGAGGATGACAAAAGGAACCAAGCCACCCAACCCTGGTTGGAGCGAGCCACTCAACTGGCCCAACTCCCACGTTTCATCCCATTTCATCCCATGCTTCGATAGCGGTGGAGCCCGGAAGTCGTCGGTACCAGGGCTGTGTAAGGTTGAAGCGGCTGAGGTTGGCCCAACCTGCGGACAGCGGGGCGGGAAAAGGACGCTTTCCAAGCTGAAGCACATTGCCAGCATAGTTCATGAGCACCAACCTTGCTGCGTAAAAGTCATCCAAGGCTACAGTCAGCAGGGCTCTAAAGCAGTGTGGGAACCCATGCGAACCGTTGAAGGCAATTTGAGAATCACCTCCCATGTCTCATCAACTAAAATACTAGAATGGACAACTGATTAAGCATGTACCAAAGAGACTCCGGGGTTGTCTATGTTGAACTTCCCTGCATGACCGCTGGTTTCAGGCCTTGATAGCCTTGGTAGAGCCAAAGCCCTGCTAGCAGCACAGCCAGGACTGCAGTCAGCTTCAACCTTCTGCGCCACATCTCTCGCAGCCTAGATGTCCAAGTTCAGCTGCAAGAGAGGACAAACAGAATAAAACTCTGTTACTCTAAAGGTTGTGTGGCACAAGTTAGGCTCCTGGCCTTACTACTAGGAGCAAGGACGCTACTAGGGGCTCCTGGCATCGCTACTAGGAGCAAGGACGCTACTAGGGGCTCCTGGCATCGCTACTAGGAGCAAGGACGCTACTAGGGGCTCCTGGCCCTACTACTAAGAGCAAGGACGCTACTAGGGGCTTCTGGCCTTACTACTAGGAGCAAGGACGCTACTAGGGTCTCCTGGCATCGCTACTAGGAGCAAGGACGCTACTAGGGGCTCCTGGCATCGCTACTAGGAGCAAGGACGCTACTAGGGGCTCCTGGCATCGCTACTAGGAGCAAGGACGCTACTAGGGTAGTTACTAGGGTCCATGGAGACGGCCTTTGTGTTGCAGCCGGATAGCCCATGGGAGCACGTCGGGGGACGTGCTCCATCCGACCCTCCTCGTATATGGATGACTAAGGATGACTAAGGTATAGCATACAGTACTGTAGTTAATATAGTTTGATCCCCAAATAGGCATCTCCCCAATTGCTCTTCAAACAATGGGAACAATGGAATGGAGGGGTCAGTTTGGTACCTATACCTATTGGTCGTATTCGTTGTCCCCTCTATAAATCAACCAAACAAAGTGTATAAGCCATCTGTGGCAATAATTTGCACTTTGTGAGTATGTGTGTACGTGTGAAACTACATGTGAATTTATGTCTTTATCGATTATCGATCGCTGGTTATGACCACGACCAGCGCGATGTCAGGGTAAGCCGTCCTCATTCCCTCTCACAGTGCGCCAATGGTCTACACCAAGTCTACATCATCTTTTGCCGAGTTTGGATGGCGAACCAAGGCTCCAAAATGCAATGACTCATCCCAAAATAATTACATCAGTAGGTGCTTCATCAAGTGGCTGGTTGTAGATTGGTATGCCCTCAGGACCCCGTGACCGGGCAGCACGCGCACAGGCGCTGGCAAGCACGAGCTGGGAGCTGCCCATCAGTGCGGCTGCCGACAGCAACAGGTGGTGACCTAGTGCATGGGGTGCCCCCGAGAAGGGCAAACATTCAGTGCATTCTTGTTGCGTTGAGTGCTTGCCCTGAGTGCTCACAGAACCATGAAGGAGCAACAAACACATGTGCTTGATTGAAATTCGTGTCGGCACGACGCCGCAACTAGTGCTTTGACCAAGTAAGTTGTCAATCCACCAACAAAAGATTGCAATGCACGGGAAGTAATCCTTTGGTTTAACTACTTGTCTAACACAAAAGGCCAGGCCCTCAGGATACCTGGAAAACTCATGACGGTTCGAGTGTTTGTGCCTCAGCAAGTCACAAATCGCACCAGAACTGTCCAGGCCTCCCAAGGGCCCTCCATGCATCAACTGCTGAGAAGCCTTCAAGGGCTCACCACCTTAGCGTCTGTCGTTCTTCAGGTTGTGGCCCGAACCATGAGTGAATACAAAATGGCAAACTTGACGCATTGGCCAACATGTCATGGCTTATTTGTGTCCTGAGTCCTTACTTTATCTTACTGTCTGCATATAATTCTAATGTTGAACTAAGCACCACCAGCTGACCATGGATGATTTTGGAAACACAGGCACATACAGGCACTGTCAGGACGCAGCTGAGGCACTGGGAATCTTCCACCCAACAACGGCACCAGGAACCCCGAGGGGAGGTGGGGAGCATGGTGCCAACATGGCCCGATGCACGGCTCAGTCGATGTGGCGGTTGCTCTGTGTTGAGGTTTGCAGGGTTGTTCTTCAGGCTGTTCTTTGCTTAGAGCAATGGAAGCAAACAACGAGGAAGACCAACACACGCCAAAGAATCTACGGTCAGATCGGCTCTCGAAATGTCGGAAATGAAGGGTGGTGAAAACATCTAGCACTCGCTTCACCAAAGGGATAAGGCACAACATGTTAGTTTTTTTGGGGCTCTTAGCTATAAAGCCCATGTCTGGAGCACTTTGGCACCCAAGTCTGAAGCCATGTCAGTTTCAGGAGGCACCACATACAGAACATTACTGTAATTGTAATATTATGTTATATATTGATTATATATTGAGATATACTGTATTGAGTCTTATGTCTTTCGCACTGCTTCAATAACTGCATGCACGTCATGTGCAATCGGCTTCAAGCTCAAGCCGGCAAATGGTGATTGACCATATAGGTAGGATTTGCAGATTTGATCAGCGCTTGACACTTGGGAGACTTTGTTGCCATGGCTGATGGCCCCTGCTATTGGGTGGAAGAAGCCCACTAGACCTGTTTCACTTCCATGTTCGCTGGTTGTGACATGTCGCGACCAAGCAACCAAAAAATGAACAACATCCCTGTCGACAGTCTGTCGACGTGACCGATGCCGCCAAGACAACAGATCTTGGTCAAAACGCCCACCAAACGGAAATGATGTCTGTCTAACTAACTAAGTAACTCACTCACTCACTCTCCCTCTCTCTCTCTCACTCTCTCTCTCTCTGTCTATCTGTGTGTCTGTCTGGCTGGCTGGCTGGCTGGCTGGCTGTCTGTCTGCCTGCCTGCCTGCCTGCCTGCCTGCCTGCCTGTCCCTCCCTCCATCCACATATGAAATAGGCCACACTCTCATGATCCCAATTAGATATGCAAAGCCGAGAGATACGATAAACTGAAGAATTCAGAAAGCAACGTCTTCCAACCACTTAAGATCCACAAACTCAATCCTGGTGTCCAAAACCCAACACTCGGAAAACATGAAACACATCTTCGCGCACCTAAACACGTGGACAACACTGCCAATTTCTATTTCGCTCTGCTGAACGGCTTAGCGCTTAGCTCTCTTTTTCGATCGCAGACCATCCAGTCAAAGCTGGAGCTTTGCGAGGGCCTGCTCAAGCGCAAGATGAACTCGGCTCAAGGAAATGAGGCTTTTCAAAGCGCAAGATGAGCTCGCTAACAACAAGGTGGGTCCAGGCACTGATAGGCTGAAAGCATATTCTCAACTCCTCCCACATGGCGTCACTTCAGCCTCTCTCAAGAGCAACGCTTCCAACTAGAAACAACATCAGCATCTGAGACTAAAAAAGTCCTTTAAAAATCACAACAAAAAGAGACAAAGCAACAGGTGATTTTGGGTTCCAATAACGAATGAATGAATCAGGCCACACCCGATGTTCCGCCTTCATCAATGCCTTGCCGCCCTCGCTCTCAGCGAGGCGCAGGGCTTCCTCGCCGACCACCTCGCCTGAGTTCGTGATCTGCACCTTTCCAGGGGCATAAGCTGGGTCCTCCAGCTGAGGAGCTGCTGGTGGGTTTGGTTTTTTGGGACCCCTTGTTTGTCCCAATGAGTCGTATCGAGACAAAAAACCATAGGCTCATCGATCGTTGAGACACATCGGAAGGGAAGTCCCTGGCCTTGGATTGATGGAAAAAGGGCAGCAGCGTTCCTATGATGGATCTGGGTCAAAGATATGTTTCTGTTTGCCCGCGCCACCAACACAGCCCCAATTTGCCCAAGCCCCACAAGGGTGATTCCGTTCAAGGAAGGATAAACAGAATATGGACCTGTTATGAGCCCCATGCATGGGCTTGACACCTGCTGCAAGCCTATTTGGACCATCCATGTCTCCATGTTCTTGTCACGAGTCCTAACAATCCAAACACCGCAAATCCAACGTATCCGTGGTCAAGTGTCAGGTCTTTCTTGGACATTCAATCGCCCCCGGGTGGTTCTCTTCAACTCTGTCAAGTGGCCGGTGGGGCGATTGGCCACATTCACCACGCAGGCGGCCGCACGCATGGTGCCCTTGGAGAGGTTTGGCCAGTCGGTTCACCCCTGAATGTACTGTACCCGCCTGCAAAGTAACGCGGTTCCCCAGTTTTGCCATTGGGTTTTGGAAGCCGACTCTTCCACAGAGAACCCTGCAATCCTCGCGGTGTAGACACATTGCTGATCATGGCCAAAGGCTGTCGGGTCAACGCACCAAACCAGAATTGTCACTTTGGGTCAGTCAATCTGACAACCTGCCGTGTGAACGAAATCCTTGGCCTTATCCTTTGCAAGGAGCAATGATTTGACATCAAACTTGTCATGTACAACAATTGCAGCATGACGAGTTTCAGGTTTACCTTGGTAAACAAACACGGAGACTGCAACATGTGGTGGGGATAGTAGTAATTATCTATCCGAATTTCTCAAGGGTGATCGGTTAAATCTAGCCACGCTGGGTGATATTATAGACCATAAGTAAGGAATTGTGCTGACCCGTCTCTTTCCTTTTGTTTAGCGGCCATCTGGCTGCCACACGGCAGCTGCAGCAATAAGTTCTCCCTCTCTCTCTCTATACATGTAGCAATTTTACAATAATTATCCTGAATCTTCAAACGTGCAGAATTTTCTTACCTAGTGGTTGTTTCAACACTTTTGGCCGCAAAAGGCCGCAAAACCTTCAAACCGTTCAATCTGGATATTCTGGCCCAATAGTTCAATAATTGGAGTTGAGCAAGGAGAATCGTTCAATTCATGAAGAATTGATGTGATTGGACGATTGGACTGTGTATAGTTTGACATTTGGAGGTTTGCAAAAACAAAAGTACCTACTTCCTAGCGTTCACGTTTTGAAGAGCTGGATGCTGAGTAAGCCCCCCACTAATTCAAGACATGGAAGCATCCCTCAACAAATGCTGCTATTCGTATTCACTCGACTCGATATGCAACATGTAATGTGCAAAAATGCAAGACACAAACAGTACATAAAAATCCACAAATAGTACGCAAAAAGCACGCAAATAATATGCAAAAACCAGCAAAAGTACGCATATCGGGATTTCTGTACTCTTGGCTTTTTGTTGGTTTTCAGGATTTCTAGAACAAAGAGGTTTCCCTTGGGATGATGAGTGGAAAAGGACGTGCTATCCAACAACAAAAACATTGTGTACAATCTGCAAGTCGGCCTGACACGCTTTCTATTTATTTGAACCGGTCAAATGTTCATTGATCGCGCACTTGTTTGCACTGTGGCTTACAGTTCCACTTGATGGGACCCATTAAAGTGTGCGGATCAAGAAAAGAAAAGGAGCAGCGCTAGCGTTCAATTTTGGCTGAAACCATTTACTTTTGGTTGGAATCGGCCAAGCCGGCCCAATAGGAAAGAAATCCCAATAGTGAAGAACATTCTTAATTGTTGAGGGTCTATATATACATGTCTGAGTCTTTGTGTGCGAATAGATTTTGAGACATGTGAACGTCCAGCTCTGTGGCCTCTTCTATTCATTCTAATCCCGCTCTTTTCGTCGGCCAGGGCGCTTTCGGCAAGCAGCTGCGAGCCAAATGAAAAAGTTGGAAGGTCTCCATCTCCTTGGACCACCGTCGCGCACAGGGAGGTGCCACTGCACACGGCACACGAGCTTAGAATTCATCGGGGGAGTCCCGCACTGTGGAGTTGCCTATCACAGCACCAAGTGTTGGTCTTATTTCTCATGGGGGGTTCTGGCACTAATCCACAGCAAGACCTCCCAAACATCATCTATATAAATACTGTACAAAATCCTCCACCCTCTGAAGTCCGTGATTTGATGTCAACTCATCCCAAGACATCTCCTATCTGGCTGAGCTTTTCCAAGTGTCCATGGTGATTGCTTTGGGGTACCTGTCCAAGACCTCTCCAATCAGCTGGCTGTTCTCATCGTTGAAGGCGGAATCAGCACGGCCCTGCGACGAGTAGAAGGAGTCCGCCGTGAGGTTGGTGCCTTCGTTCACCTGAAGAGGTTGGTGGACAAAGGCCATCACCAGCTTCAAAGTCAAAGAAACTCCGATCAACAGTGGGATTCTGGTGTGTCTTTCTGGAACACATGACTCGGCAGTACAAATCTATCTACGAGCTCCTAGCAGAGTTGCACTTTTACAATTCCTCAAAAAAATATCGAAATGGACTATAGTACAAAAGGTGTGACGCCTCCCTGAATTTGAGCACGTCCTTATTAGACTGACATGTTGCTGCTCTGGGCTGGGAGGTGCTCACAACTGTCTTCAATTTTTGTGGAATGCTAATGTATGGTGCAGTCTTGGGTGCAGAATGTGGTCTTACCTAGTAAGAACCCGTGCAGAATGTGCGAGTTAAGGAGTCGTTCCGGCCCTTGGAACAGTTTCTTAGGGTTGCCAGTTGACCAACCTCTTCCTGAATGGTTTTGTCGGCAATTTGTAAAACCTTTACTCTGCGGCTTTCAACATCTGTACCAGAAATCTGCCTCTCCCGCCACTCGTATGCACTCACCCCACCTTCTCACCGCCAAGGGCCTCCCTCAAGGCTGCAATGACTGTCGAGGTGAGTTCCTCAACGGGACTGCACCCAGATCGGCCCATTCGTGCCGGTCCCCAGTCCATCCTGTTTGGGTCTCCTAAAGAACGACAACACGCACAGCGCGGGGGACACCGTACATCGCCAGTGATCCATCGGTGAATGCACCGGAGAGCTCTGGTAAAAAGTCTCCGCCGAGTCGGACTCTGCTTGGAACACTCAACGTTTAGGAGTCATACCCTATATAAAACATAATTAACTATTATATAAGTCAAATGACAACGTGATTCTATGATTGAGCAGTTCATGACGGACGCTGCAAACACTCCAGCTGCTATGCTCTATCAGTTACATAGCCTACATAGCAGTAGTTGCATCAATGGTATATCCAACTGTGCCCACCCTCGCCTCAAGTTGCTTTCCTCACAATCCTTGGCATCACCCTTCCTTGCATACACGACACTGGCAAACATCCAAGGGACGGCATCTGGCAAACACAGCTCTGAGATTGTGTAGGGCTTGGCCTCGGAGCAGTTAGCCATGCTGCTAAGCATTGCTAAGCTAGCCAAGAAGTGGAGGTGGACAGTTAAGACATGTTTAGACTAAAGGCCGTGCCATGTTTAAACCCTTGAACATCCTCCCCCCCCAAAGGCTCGGAAGCCCGGAGGCCAGCATCAGGGGCGCTTTGCAGTTAGCCCTGAAATCAGTGCTAAAAACCAATGGAAAATGGGGTGTTGCTTCATCAATGAAGTCTTCATGCAACATTCAGCCTTGAGACTGTTTCAGTTCAATGGACCTGGAGGTGTTCCAGCTCACATGAAAATGAATGGACAAACATGCCTTTTCACTGGTCATCGGGAAGCAACACAATAAATGGGCGAATGCTTATAGAATGAAGAGACGCACAACCAACGGGTTTCGTCAGTATGTCAATATTATGGGGAGGTCTGAGTCTGTGGGTGTCTCCCAATTTCAATACACCCTCCGCACAAAGCGTTGTCTGCTCAAGTCTGTGTTGAGTGCCCCTGTGCGTCGATCTCTTCTTTCGCGATCTTTGGGTCTCCAGTTTGGAGTGACCAAGCGTCTGGCCGCAGTAGCAGCCGCAGGCCCGAGAAGTCGTTGGGTGAAACCGCAAGTGTATGCAACATTGAATGTCCTTTGAAAGGCTCACTCGGAAAGCGTGCTTCGCCTCCGTGCTTCCTTCCAAAGAGATCTACTGAATTAGTTAGTCCTTGCATGGGGTCTGTTCCACCACGCAACAAAATTGACACAAATCGAGGCCTCCAGGCAAAAAACGCAGCATATCCATTAGGGCTGTGAACCGGTGGTGGACGCTTTCCAAAATGGAGAGCATGTCTATAGTTGTCAAACATGTACACACGCCTTTCACATGCAACCAACCCAATCCACTTGTCTTCTTGCAGAGATGCCCAAAAAGGTCACCCGCGAAAATGCCAAGAGATCACAGCTCATCCAAAGATACCGCCCATCTGTTGCTGGGGTGCAGCCGACCTCGTTCACAGGCGGTTTCTTGGATTCTTGGGTATCTAGTCTAGGACCTAGGATACACCACCTGCAGCCTTCTGTGTGCCATGTGAACCCCCCCGTGCATGTCCCGTTCTCAAAAATAGGAACGCTGCGACGCTGCACCAACTCATGGAAACCTGGCTCCAAACGAATCCTCGAGGTCGCCGAGGACTCTGGAAGCCAAGGATTCTGACAACTATATACTATATACCTAGCGCTTCCAAGGGGTGCCCAATGGAGACCTGTAAGTAGTGTGGAGATGTCCATTGGCGACCCCTTGGAAGCAGCTGATATGGTCGTCTATATGTTCTTTATTTTTTCATTATTTTCCCCATCTCTCCTTCAAAGCCTTCCAAAAACGACCGGTTGGGTAAAAACAACATCAAACACTGGGGGGGTGACTAGTTGCCCGATGTTGCCCATCCCATGCTCGTCTCTCCCTATGGTCACTTCGAGCTGCAGGAACCCCTCGCGAATCTGATGCTCCAAGTCCTTCACTGCTGATGGGCCATGTGGCACCACGATGGAGCCATGACTGGATGCCTCATGTGACACCACCGCTGGCCGATCAGAAAAGTGTCCGATAAACCGATCGCGCTCATTTGCAAACAAAGAGGCAAATTCTTTCAAGGTGTCCAAATACTGTGTCATGATCATCATGTGCATGGCTTCCTTCTCTGACATGCCACTCTCCTTCATGAATTTCATGGAATCCTGGAAGCCCTGCGCCATGGCGGCGCGCATATTCGCCATTCCTTGGTTGGACTCTGTCAGGGCAGGGACCAGGCCCTGGCATAGCAGGAAGATGCTCAGCTTGGTCCATGGCGGAAGTTGTTGCAACCAACCTCAACAACTGATTGTCAAAACAGGTCATGATCCATTGTGTTCCGTACCACTGTCACATTCCAAACCAGCGACCCTGGAGGCGCTGGAGATAGCTCACTAGAGACACCAAACTGAGACCGCGAACGAATGCAAGCTTATAGTGATGTGCGTGTAAATGTGGATCTCAGCCAAGGGATAAAGTTTCTCACCTCCACAAAAAGGACCCTGAAATGAACTTCTTGCACTTCCCCGAAAAACGCTTCTAACCATCCAACCATCCGTTCTGGATGCCAACCTTCGTTCCGTTCATCCACGGTTCCCCCCGACACCGACACCTTCGTTCCAGGCACCGACACCGGCCAAGCGCTTGGCTTCAGCGTCCGCCTCCGAGGCCTTGATCTTCAGGAGCTTGTCGGCCTGGCCGGTCTTGACGGCCAAAGGAGTCCGAACCAAACAGTCCAGCATGTTTTTCGGTCAAAATCGCCGTCTTCTGCAACAAAGACAACACATACGTTGCCGGCATGTTTGTTAAGGTCAACTCTTTTTCTTATAGGGGTTCAAGTCTTGTTGTCCCCGAGCTTCGTCTCTGAGATGGTCCCTTCTTTTGGGCCACAGGTCGAGGCCCGTGGCCCGAGGGTCCATCCACATGAAGTTACAGCCACCTGGACGTTGCAAACACCTGGCCAGCCTGGTGGGCCTTTTGCGGGGACTTCGCAGCTGCTGCGATGCCCATACAATCGCCCGGGGTGGCATCGATCGGAGCTGCGCTTCTGGGACCCCCAAAATCCCCGTCCAGGCGTCCAGGAGCTTCCGAGTGACGCTCTTTGGAGTCTGAGTGAGTTTTTTTGGAGGCCGTATAGCGACCTTTTACTGGCTTAAGTGACCTCAAACCTCATCATTTTAGGTCACTGGGAAGATGATGACGAAGCCAAATCGAAACATGAAAGGATTGGACTTGATTGGACCTGACGAAGCCTCCTTTCACAGCGTTCAGTCAGTGGGTTCGGAACTCCACGGCGCCCCGCCTCGCCCTTCTCAAAGGCGGCCTCCCGCTGTCTGCGGGAGGCATTGATCTCATTCATGGCGTCCAGGACCGAACGCTCAGGTTGGATGTCGGTGATGAGGACGTTGAGGATGTCGTAGCCGTACCTGGACGTACGTTGAGGATGACGTACGTCGACGACAGGATGGAACCATCCCTTCATGCTGGGTGGCCAAGCGTCTGTCCGACCACGGACCCGGTCCCTTGGACCCTCATGAAACAATAGCCGAACGAATCTGGTCATGGAAACATCATGAAACCTCCTCAACGGGCATCACCATTCAATGCTTTCGAGTTGGTCTCGGATGTCAGCTCAATGTTGGATGACAGTCTCTAGCAGCATCTCCAACCCCTTCTCCTCTGGCCTTCCCATCGCTTCCCTCACCTCAGGCATGTGAGCGTGACCCTCCATGGAAGGGTACCCCACACCGAACCAAAAGCATGCCTGTCACCAACCCCTGCATTGATCCAACCAACAAATCTGCAATGTTCAAACAATTCCCCACAGGCCAAGTTAATTCACTACCATCATCTCATCATCCTGGGGCCAGGTCTTGCATTACTGTAACACATTTTACATCCGAGGTTGTATAATAGAAAATACGTATAAGCAATATTTTGTTGAAACACTACATAACATGTTGTTGTCTTATGTGTTTGCATTATGCACTTTATTGTGTTGCCTTTCTCCGTAATTTTGCCCCCCTGCAGTGACACATAGCCGATAGCTTGCCATGCACGTTGGCTCTAGCAACGTGTGAGGTGGACCAAACCGTACAGGTACAGTTCTTCAGAGAAACTTCAGGTCCTGAATTGATTGTTTTCGTTGTCTGGTGGCGCGCCCCATCATGTTAGACCTAAGACCTACAGTAGTTGTGCAAAAAGGTTCAACAGGTGAAGCACTTAAATTTGAGTTGAAACATGTCGAAACAACGCACACCTTCATGGCGTATCTAGTTATATATGAATATATTAATATGACTCTTAATGGTTTCATAGTATCTGAAACACTATCTGGGCAAAAAGTGAGTACTGCAATGCCAAAACAATGACAACATCGCACAGTGAAGCCCAAAGTGTGTGTGTGTGTGTGTGTGTGTCTCTCTCTCTCTCTCTCTCTGGTTCAATCTCTAGCGGCTGAGGGTAGGATCTCTTCCACCATCTTCTCCTTGGCTGCATAGGATTCATCCAAGGTCATAGTGGGCAACGTCGACCGCAAGACGCTGTCCACCTCGGACAGCGGCGTCAGCCGCCGCGCCGTAGAGCGGCGTCTCGCGATAAAAAGACCATGCGGGGAGACCGGCACGTCGGAAAACCATCTGGGAGACCTGGTGACCACGCCAAAAACATCCAAAAACCAATAGAACGAAGGGATTTCCATGATTCAATTGTTGGTGAATGATCCTGAATAGGTTCTTGCATATTGTCATAGGCAGCCGAACGAGCAAATGACTGCATGCCAAAGCCAATCGGAACTCTGGCCATCTTCGCTGATCCCCCAAAGGGCCGGCAAATGTGTCTCATCCGTAAACACTCTCATCATGATTCTGCAGTGTGGCACTCTGCCTTGCGTTGTTGCCTGGATCTTACACCAGCCCGGAACCCCCAGACATGTGTCCGCACACGTGCATGGCAAAAACGAGTTGATCGCCCGCCTCAGCCGCAATCTGCGCTTGGGGACTGGCGATGTCGAAGACGGCCACCTTCACCTGCGGCTCGAAGCGAGCGGCGCTTGAGTTGAGCAGGTCGGTTGTCGAGCGTGGCATGGCAATCTCTGCCCTAGTGCTTTGGCCTCTGCAGCTATACAGCATCGTAGATAGAACTTCTGATTTACATATTTTTGAATACTTGCAAACCTCCCAAGTCTGCAGTCTACAGAGCTATCAACCAAAACTTTACCAATACAATCTCCCACATCCGCCCCTTTACTTGTAAGCTCCGCCACGTCTTGGTCTGGAGAAACATGGTGCATCAACCGATCCGCAGCAACTGCCCGGCACTCTGCCCGGCCATATCTTTCTGGATACGGTACTGAACAGCAGTGACCACGGTGACTGTCACATTGTCCTGGAAAAAGGCTGCTTGGTTGATCACACGTCGTCCCAAGACATCATTGTTTGGGATCAGGACGGTGTAGCATGGTGTAACAATGTGTCAGAACATGATGTTGACCAGCAAGGTGATATGATATGGCATATTATATGTCATCCTTGAATGGATGCATCCTGCATATGCCCTAGTCTTTGCGTCATCAACTGGTACAGGATGTCTTCCTTCGACCGTAGGTTTCCAAGGACTCTTAATGCTAAAAACCTCGATGCCTTTGCTCATCGGGTTTTGCTCTCGCTGTTCAATACATATATACCTCCCGCTCCGTGACCTTTGCCATCATTTGTCACACAGTAAAATTGCCCCACACCCATGGCTCTTAGACTAGACAATTCATTAATCCTAATCAATTACAACGACCATTACAAACCACAAAAAACACATTTGTTTGTAGCTGGTTCAGTTCAATCCCCAACAATCCTCCACAACGGTTTCAATCAGGACAACTGACCGTGACTGGTGTGTGTGTGTGTGTCCAACAAGCTTTGATGTCCACCCACCGCAAATCTAGAAAGCCACATCCCAAATCCAGTCGGGTTTGTCTCCTTGGTCTTGCAGTCTGATCGGCATTGTGATTGGTTCACCGCCAAAGAGCACCCCGTGACGGTGACAAAGGGGAAGCAAACGCCTCGGCTCGTGGCGTTTCGAGTGCGTTTCGGCGCCATTCCGGGCAGTAGACGTTGAAATCCGGTGCCTTCTCTAGTCAAGAAAAATGGTCCCCTAGCTAATGGCGGGGGATAGTAATAATATGTTGTTTGTTCTTGGGGCAGTTCCTCATAGTTGCTCAACATGGGCCTGCCTGGCCTGCCTGTTCAAGACTTGCTTCCACTTGCCTAGATATATTAGGTATCAGTTATCGGTTTACGACTCGGGAGATGCAACATGATGCAATGATGGCTGGGAGTTGGCCCTTTTTTCCTCAGAACTGCTATGGCAAGCAACTGCATGTTCAGGTCTCCAAGGGTATGGGATCTGGACTTGAGATCATATAAATCATCAAGGTAGCATGTCAGTGAGCACCCTAGTGTTTCCAATGAAGCAATTCCACAACCTGAAAGCTCTAAACGGCTCTAAAAGTCTATGTACAGCATCGACAACGTGACATAAGTATAACCCTGTATGATGGTAAAGGTTTAAGGGTAGTATTGACACACTGAACTGCAGTAATTAGATAAACACACATATTGCGAGTGGATCTTAATCAGCGAAGTTTGAAGCTATCACTGACGGTCCATAAGCGGCGTAGCGTCGGAACGGAAACCGCACCTTTTCTAGTCGCTTGATCCTTGAGCCAAAGTACATATGGTACATATATATATGTACATGTTGCACTGTACATGTCGCTGCACTTCCATTCGCACCCCCATGTGAACGGTAACAATGTTCCGATCACACACGAAAATTTAGGGATGTAAGTGCTACAAAGAAATTGTATGATTTGCCGCGAGACTCATATGAGGCTCATACTACAGAACATGTCGGACTAAAGCGGACTTTTACATATAAAGTGTGCAACTATGGCTCAGAACCTATGAAAAAAAATCGAATTGAACAAGTGAGACAGTCATGAGGCCTCGCTCAGTATCCACTCAAAAGAGCTTCGCTTTGATGTAGACCCGAACTGGTGACTTACACGTAGATGTCACATCGGCAACTGACTTCACACTTCTCAAAGATGTAGGTTTTTGGTTTGGATACACTTACAGAACGGCAAGTCGGAGAGACAGTCGGTGATTGTCTTCCTTCCATTATGCTCATGGTATCAAATCAAATTGTCGATTTGCAATGGTACACTTACAGCGTTCCAGGTCAGATAGACATCCGGTGAATGACTTCCTCCCTGGTTTGCATGGTATCCTCATAGTCGTTCAAAGAAATCACCACTGGTGATAACCTCTCCATCCACGATGATCCCAGTTGCCCTGAGCATCCCACCGATCATCTTCTCCCTTCTTGGACTTTCCCTTGGACTTGCTCTTTCCCTTTCCCTTTTCAGAAGGTTGAGGTACTTCGCGACGTTCTTGCGTTAACGCCGGCCTCCAAGATGTTCCAGATTGGCCTCCTCCTTTGGAATGTCCTCGGGATGATGAAGAAGTTGTACCTTCTGCTGCATGTGCGTTGGCGGCAAGATCTTCCTGCAAAGCTTGCTCAAACGCATCGGTAGCACTGGATGGTGATTTATCATGCGGTCTGGCTTTTGGAGCAGCTTTTGCCTTGATCTCCTCTGCTGATGAGGGCCCGAAACTCTTAGGTGTTGCTGAAGGTTTTGGTTCCTCACTTGGTGCTGACGACGGCTTGGCCTCGGTTCTGGACGTAGATGCTGGCTTAGCTGTTGCCTTGGCTGCCTGCTTCTTCTTGCCCTGAATCTCCTTGGCCCTATCTCCAAAGCCTAGACGATTGGTAAGAGCTTGAACATGCTTGTGTTCTATCACGCTCATCCATCTCTCTGTATGTCCAACGTTGGGGTTTCTGGCCATTGACTCTATGACTTCCTGAGCTTGTGGGGGCAACCTGATTTCATGTTGATCAATGATCAGAAGAATAGACTTCTCCCATTTGCTCTTCATTCTCGAGTACATGATGTCCAGAGGATCGATCACCTTGTGGTAGGGTGATGTAATGTCGGTTCTAAAATAAGAATATGTCCGACACCCATAAATCGCATGGATGCACTTCTGTACCAATTCAGTCATTGCACTGGCTTTCTTCGCTTTCAACTCCTCAAGCTGGGCATCAGTCAAGTCGGTGGAGTATTCGAAGTTGCCATATTCCTCTTTGAAGGATTTCGGAGTATGACCGAATGATAGGATCGTGAGTGCTACCTTGCAAATGAATTGTTCTCCTCTGAATCGGTGCCAGGCCTCCTCAGTTGTAATATTGTTGTCGTTGGCAAAGTTTAACATCATGTCATCTGTTGGATCCAATGGTCTCCCATCGTCATCGATTTCAGTGGAATCTCCTGTACCGAACTTGCTTATCACATCCAGACGCTTCTTTTTCCAATTTGCTTTGAAGTCGGTAAGGCTGGTGCAATAGTAGCTCTTGTACATCAGGGAGATCATGTTCAGCACACGTTTGACCACATACCTATCCATCAAACCCGATGCATTCATGGAGACGTCCTGACAGTAGGCTCTCTCTTGATGCGCATAGATTCGGGGTTCCGGTACTCGACAATAGATGGGGAGATCTTCGTTGTCTCTTCCTTCTTCGGGATTGAACTCGGTCGCTCCATGCTGTGTGTAGTATCCCGGTTCATCACGATCTGTCGGTCGATTTGCCTCCGGATGTAAGTCGTCGGTGACGTCTTATCCTCGGGCTCACCATCTTGACGTTTCTTCCCCTCATATTGTTGTGTGCTCCTCTGGATCTCGATGATCACGTTTCGTTCGTCTTCATCTTCGAGATCAGAGTCACGACCGTAGTCGATCTCATCCTCATTGAAAGATGGGGTCTCGACATTGTCACTCTTGAGGTTCTCTGCACCATCAGACGGTTTGGAAGGATCTTGATTGTCCATGTCCTCGTCGTCATCAGCTGCTTCAGTTTGAGCGATGTCTTCTTCCCAAGCCTTTCTGATCTCGTCCATAGTGGCCTGATCCAACATATCTTGATCATCATGTTCAGGCTTCTTCTCTTCCTTCTTTTCCTCTTCATCGTCGCTCACAAGATCAACGGGTGAATCGGAAATGACAGTGTTGCGAATACCACACGAGAGTAGCCTGCCTTGACAAGATAGGCATACGGACAAAGATGAAGAAGTCAAATGCATACATGATGGACACAAAATATTGCCATCCACGTTGCGATACCCTTCACATGTTCTGGAGATGATTTCGTCCCAAGTTTCCTCACTGATGGAATCCTCGATCAGCTCTCCATTGTCATCGAATCGTACTTCATCGATAAGGGACACGAGCTTCTGGACGTTGTCATCTGTCGCCGAGGCTGACTTTGTGACTTCGTCGGCTCTCCCGAGGATGGTATGCTTCTGAGCAACCCAAAGTCCATGACGTGCCGCTAGAACAACTTGTTCTCCAGTGCTTCCCAGCAGGAGTCTCCTCCATGCCTGACCGTGGTCATCCCAATACCAAGCACCTCGTACACATCTCCATGGAACTTCTCTAAAAACAACAGTGTAGGAATTCTCCGAAATTCTTCCTCCAAGCTTCCTCAAAGTCATGATTGGAACATAAAGGCAAACGGGCATTCCCCCTCTTGGCCATCTTGATCTCAGGATCTTTGATGATCGATCATCCCATGGCGCAAAGTGGTTGAAGAAGACACTACCTCTATATCCATCCATTCCACCAGGGACAATTCCTAGTTTCATGATTGACTCAATATTGGAAAGCGATGTCATGTGAAAGCTTCCTCCAAGCTGCATTGCCGCATTCTCTGGAATGAGATGTGAAGTCCATACAGGATATATTGACACATCCTCTTCAAGAACAGTCTCTCTCCCAGAATTGTGAGAGGCAACGGCTCGAATTGCACAAGGAACGATCCAACGTTCATGCTTCAGAAATGATGGTGCATCTGTACCGTGAAACATGAGGCTTGCCCAGTATCGCCTTTCCTCTTCGAGTGAGACATCCTCCTTTGAGATGCGAACGGCGGCAATCTGATAGCGTACTCTGTTCTGCAACTTCTTTGCATGCCACATCGCCTTGCATAAATATTGGTATCGCTCTGTCTTGATATCTTGCTCACGTCGGGTACCTGTGATAGTACTGATATTGACACCATCGTTGAAGACATGATCATATTCCAGGATCTCATCGATGTTCACCCATCCACCCTCATTGCACTTCGGGGACACATGAGGTTTTCGACCGCGGTGCGATTGAATCCCATTATGCTTTCCCACTCCATGCCTGAGCAGTCTATTGAGTCTGTGGCTAATCTCGTTGACCCATTGACTCTCCTCGCTGAGCTTGTCGATGCGGATTGCTGGGTTCATCTTTGGTGGATCCGTGTAAGTTGCATCTATCTTCGGCCCATTCCAGTACTCCACATAGAATGTAACTCCATACTGAGGAATTATCTCAATGTTTCCTCTATCGCAAGTCACCTCAATCTGCCGATATCCAGCCTTTTGAAATTGTTGTGGATCAGGAGCAAGGTCCTTCACTTTGGGCATCTTTATTCCGAGTGCTGCAGCCTCCTGAATAAGTGCATCAAGTTCCCTCTTTCCATCAGGACCTGATCTATCAACCCTGTGATTCGCGACCTTGTGCTCTCCTCCTTCTTTGTCATCGGCAATGTCAAAGAGGTCGACGGGCTCTTTGAATCTGGTGACGAAGCTGGCGTTCCCAAAGGCCTTCTTGGTTGCCTCGACCGCTTTTGCGTATTCCTCTTTTGCAGAGTCTGACGAATGTGGTCTACCTTTGGCTCTCGGAGAGTAAGGTGGTACCTTACTTCCTAGTTCCGGTTCTTCTTCGGGAAGTTCAATATCTTCATCATCCACATCCATGTAGTCCTCGTCTTCGACGTCTTTGGATGACTTTGCTTTCCTCTTTCGGCTTTCAACATCACGTCGGATGATCGCCTTGTCGTCCTCGGTGAAGCACTTGCGCATAGTGTCCTCCATGTAAGAGAATGATTTCATCAACACGTCCTTCTTCT